CTCCCCCCCCCAAATTCTCTTATTAAAATATCCAAAATTCACATTCTTCCATGATTAAATTGAAATGTCATTATATATATATAGAGAGAGAGATCAGTTGGGCAATGTTTTATTGATATATTTACAATTTTAAAGCAATTTGGAAGCCTACCAGTGTCTCTATCATCATAATAAAATAAATTCTAAATATCTATATACTTTGGTGTCTGCATTTGTTTTCCTTATCATAGAAAAATCAGAGATACCCCTGCTCCCTTCAGTCACCAGGACGTGGGGACAGCTGCAGGTGGACCCGCAGCTGCTTTGTGGCACTGAGCAGCACTAATATGCTGGTGCCCTGCCCCTGCCCTTGCCCCTCACTCCCAACCCAAGCCCCTGCCAGTGTCTCTCACTCCCTGACCCACATCCCCTTCCTGTCCCCAACTCGCTCACTCCCAGAAACAGCTCCATCCCAGCACCAGGACATAGGTCCAGCTGCAGCTGTCCCACATGCTGCTTTGTGGCTCTGAGCAGTGCCAAGTCTTACTGTTCTGCTCCCTGTGCCTGTGCCCAGGCCCCAGCGATCCCCATGCCATTTCCTGGGAAGTGCTTGACTGGGGCTCAGGGACTGGGCTGGGCAAGCCCCTTCCCTTCCAAGCTGGCCTCCCCCTGCACCGGGTGTTCAAGGGGGGCAGGGGGCTCCAAGCCCGGCTCTGGTGGCCTCTCTTACCCAGAGCACTGACCCATCCTCCAACCCCATCTCTCCCGCTCTCACATACAGACACACCTCTGCTGCCACCCCGGCCCATCACATACACCCATAGACCCTGCTGCCATCTCAATCTCTACCCTGCCCATTACCCACTCCTGTTGCCACTTCCACCCCTCCCCTCCACCCCATCACATGCCCCAAGTAGTTCCTGGGAGTAGGAGCCCTTGCCCCTGCTGGTGGCAGCAACCATCAGGGCACTCATGGCCCACCGCAGGCAGAGCCCCCAGGCAATGCACAGCAGTGCCTGACACCCAGGAGCTACACGTGGTGCACGCCTTCAGGCACAACCCAGCCAGCTCCTGCCACTACCCAGAGCTCCCGGCACTGCAGGAAGGAGCTGTGTGTTATCAGGCCAGGCCAGCTCCTGCATCCATGTGGTGCCATCAGGTTGGGCTGGCCTTTGCTTCCACGTAGTGGACATGTGGAGGCAGGAGCAGGCCTGGCCCAATGGTGCTTGGCTCCTGCCTACAGTGCCAGGAGCTCCAGGTGGTGGTGGGAGCTGACCCAGTCTTCTTTGAAGGTATGCACCAGCAGGCCAGGCTGGCTCCATGTGCCAAATGTAGCCCCTGGGTCTCAGGCGGTGCAATGTGCAGCCTGTGGGCTCTGCCGAGGCTGTGCACTGTGGTGGCGGCAGGCAGGGGAACCACCCCTCCCACACAGTCCATACAATCTCCCCAATTCCCACAATCCACCCTACCACCACGGTTCCCTCATCCCCACACAGTCCCCCCACTCTCACGCCATTCCCCCCACCCCACGCACCACCTCCACATCCCTGCTTACTGGGGACAGAGTCTGGGTCCGAGCTACTGCTGCCAGCCTTGCCCCACCTCTGTTTCCTCCAGCACACCGAGGTAGTGTGCTGGAGCATCAGGGCATGCAGCACGCATAGAGACACTCTGGTCAGGTGCTAAAGCATCTCTTTGGAGGACCCAACCTCCAGTTGCTTTGGGCATGCTCCAGGAATGTGCCCTGTGCCACTTTTTTCTGGCATGTTTTCTTTTGGTACTGGGATTTCCTGTGTGACAGGCTAGCCAGTGGCAGCTTGGCCCAAGGGTTTTGAAAAGTTCAAAAATGATTGGTGGGGGGGATTCCCTTTTCCCTACCAATCAGACCCCTGGAAAAGTAGAAGGGGCCAGGTAGAGAAACCAGACCTGAGTGAAGACTCACCTCTTATGTCTCCCGGCCACCTGGGCAGCAGACCTGGTTTCAGGAGAAGATGACAAGGGATGAAAGAGAGAAGTCCTGAAGAGCTGGTGAGAGCTGACCAGAGGAGCAGAGGGGTTGCTCCAGAAGAGCCCTGGGAGCCACAGGAGGTGGCTTGGCTTAGCTGCTTGGCACATGGGGTGGTGCACGGCAAGTCTCCAGTGGGGACCCGGAGCCTGGGAGCTGCAGGAGGCAGCTTAGCTCAGCTCAGCCACTCGGCACACGGGGAGGTGTGCAGCAAATCTCTGGCGGGAGATCCCGGGCCTGGAGCTGCAGGAGGCAGCTCATCTCAGTTGCAGTGGTGCACAGGGTGGTGCACAGAGGGGTCCAGGCAGGACCCAAGCCCTTGGAGCTGGGGCAGTGGCTGGCTCAGTGCATAGGTCTGGGAGGGACCCAATTGCCGAGCTGCAAGCAGCAGCTTGGGGCCTTTTTCCCTTTTCTTTTGATCCCTGGCCTGAGGCTGGGCAGCTGGCTCAGTGTGCAGGCAGCACATGTGAGTATCCTGGAAGGACTAGAGCACTGGAGCTGCAGGCAGCAGCCTAGGCGTTGATGGCTCAGTGGCAGAGTTCCCACCTGCCTTGTAGGAGACCCCCATTCAATCCTTGGCCAAGGCACCAGTAGGGTGAGCTGTTGGGAAGAAGGAATCACCACTGGTGAGGGTTCTCCTCACCTCTTTGTCCCTCTGGGTTGCCTGTGTCTCAAACTTTGTGAGAGCTGCACTTCATGTTTTGTGAAAACCTGCGTCTTGTATTCTGTGAAACTTTGTGCCTCAAGCTTTGTTGTTGATTTGCATCTGCTAAAGGTATATGTGTATCTCACTTTACTGAATCTGCTCTTGCTCCCCTGGTTCTCTCCCCTCAACCCTCAGGTGACCAGAGGATCATACCCTTATTATCCAGAATCCCCCGTACCCTTCTGCACATATTTCACACCCCAGCCTGGTTCTTCCCTTATTAAATTTTATGTGGTTATGTTCCAACTGGTGTCTCGGCGCTATTCTATGGGGACTAGGAGGACAGCTGCTCCCCATAGGCAGCTACACCTCCCATAGCATACTAGCACTCAATAAATCCCTTCAATTAGAGAGGGGATAAGATACCTTATCTGAGTACCACCCAGGTTATACCTGGTACCAACTTTAAAGTCCATGCTGCATATTTGCAGCATGGGGAACATTTGTTCATTCGTGGTGTGTCTCCTGCAGTGTCTGAAACTGCTTTGAGGTGCTGCAACAGGCACGTATTCGCTCATGTGGATGCAGCCAGCATGACCACAGCAGGTGAGAACGTTTTAAATTCTGTGGGTTCCTATTTCAAAGCTCTGGGTTTATCTTGCAGCTCATGATTCAAAATTACTAGTTTAAACCAAACTAAGTTGGAACCAGTTTGAATTCTCAGCCCTATGAAGTCTGGAGAAAATGATATCCATATAATATCTCTACCCTCTGCACACATTTTAAATCCTCTAAAAGGGTGGGCCTTTCAATGTCCCAACTTCAAGTAGCTAAAAAGGTTCATTTCCTTTCGCTCATTGTGAAGTGATGAGGACCACATGAGACGCTATATTGTGTAGCCATAAGACATTTATCATCTTGGGAGATGGAAATCCTATCTGGTGTAATTACTATATATTAAAATAGATGCAATTCTGATATGGAGGTATAGAACGTTGTACATTACATTAGTCAGAGAATAGGATATTCATCTTTCCTTTAATTTGTAGACTTCATAACTTTGTTTGCATTCACTGCAAGATAACTACTGTACATTCCTGAAAAATGACATCTTGTATGAAAAGTCTTAACAAAAGCCACAGTACCGATAATTTTCCTGCGGATCAGGGAGGACAGATCTCTGTGTGGTTGCACTGACATGGACCAAACCTTGCCTTTATCATTTTCAACTAAATTGTAATGCTGTCAAGGCCATACATTAAAGAAAGTTTCTCTTGATCAAATATTTTACTCAGTCATGTGAAATCTGATTTATTCTCCTACAGCAAACATAATGAGGGCAAATAGTCCCTTCTGGAAACTTATTTGATATGAGAAACACAGCCCTAGTGAATATTTTGGAGATGTGAATGTGTCTGATTTATGAAGTATTAACGTGTTTGCTGTTTGTTGTACATGCTTATAACCTATGGGTCTTGTTGAATCCCCAGATACTAATGGATGTGAAGGCAGTTATGTTAGAGTGCTTTTTTTACCATACATGCTAGGCAGCATTACCTTTTGGATATAGCTCCCACCATGGTTTCTGAGCCTTTGGGAGCTGTTACGTGGGACTACATTTTACATTTGAGAAATCAAAGATAGCATGGGATTCAGCAACCTGTATTGAGAAAACTGTGATACACTTAAATTTACTCGTAACTTGCCATTCAAATAATCAATATAAAAGAGTAAAGTGCTTCTCAGAATAAGGCTATAACTGAATAAGTGGTGTTCTTGGAGAGAAAGTATGTTATATATGTAGTGATAGACTACTGATATCTAGATAAATGTAAGGGATTGAATTAAACTATGAAGCCTTATATACTTTTGTAGCTGTACACTTGAGTTCCTTTTCTATTTGGTACTGTAACAAATGTAATGATTTGCTGTGCTACAATCAGTAGCCTCCATTTTGGGTGGGAGGAGGATATTTGTAGACAACTGATAAGGGAAGCAATAGGACTCTAGGACATGCCTACAAACAACAGTTAAGGAAAAGGAAGAATATTACACGTATCAGAACCAGAAAGAAATATAACAGTTTTATTGATCTATTGGTAGATTAAAAATGGTAGCAATGAATGAATGTTCCTTTTAGGCTTCAAGCACAACAGTGAACATTTGGAGAGGGTACAGAGAATAGTCACGAGAATGATTAGAGAATTGGAATACATGTCTTATCATAAGAAACTCAAGGAGCTTAGTCTAATTTATCCCCTCTCCCCCCAAAAATAAATAAATAAAGCAGTGCCTTAATCACAGTCTATAAGTACTAGGGAACTGATGTTAGAAGTCTATCAAAGATATAACAAGTTTCAGTCACTGGAAGCTGAAACCAGACAAATTCTGACCTAATGAAGGTACTAATATTTAATAGTAATAATTAGCCACTGGAATAGCTGACAATGGTTTCTGTGGATCCTCTACCCAGTGAAAATGTTTAAATCGGAATCAGATGTTTCCAAAAAAAATCTGTTCTAGTTCAACCATAGCTACTAGCCTCAAAGCAGGAATTAATTCAGGGAAGTCCTGTGTCCTGGATTATGTAAGAGGTCAGACTAGATTACTATAATAGTCTTTTCTGGCCTTAAAATCTCTGAATCTAAGATTGTAAGAAACTATTTTGACTTTATTTTTCCTGAGCTTAGATTTTACAACTTGTTCAGAGAATGCTGCAAGGATCAACTCTTTTCCTGAGCTTTTGGTGATCATCAAGTAATGACAGGTGCAAGCCAGGGTTTGGCCTTATAGAGAGTGGTCTTTGTTGGAGACAATCTGTTGTTTGAAAATTGTTTTTGGAATTTGTACTTGTATTTTGAGGCTTCTGACAAGTATCTCACATATAATAGGTAAAAATAAATAAAATCAGCTATGTATAAGTATAAAACATTTGCCTAGCATTTTTAACCCAAATACTAGAGCAAAGTGCTAGGCCATGCATTGTAATCTAAGGGACAAAGCTGATAAGTACAGGTTGGGTAGTGTGATTAACTATTTTGACCTTGGGCAAGTCACTTAAGATCTTTGTGCTTTACTTCGTCTATGTAAGGGTGCTGATAGTATTGCTGCCCTTGCAATCCCTACATGAAAAACCTAGTTCTCTTCTGTGATGAACACCTGTGGCAAAACTAAGAGATCACAGGACTTGACCTAAAGCCCATAGCTGATACTTCAAAAATGGTGAAGGGAGGGATGGGAAAACCTGCCTTTGGCACACTCTATAATAGTTGAAAAGAACAACTGTTGAACAACCAAGGAAGATAAAGATGAATAATCAGACATAGCTCTAACTCGGTGTTGGATTGTGCAAAGTTTAAATTTTCATATTAATAAAACTCAGATTTTTATTTTTGTTGATGTTATTTTTTCTTCCTTGGCACATATGGTACTTAAGATTGTGCACAGACCCCTGTAAAAACAGTGTGTTAAGCACAGAGCCTCACTTAGACATGTAGCCTTAACTGTGAATTTATTTGCTTTGGTACCATAGGGTCAAAGTCAAATTTTAGGTGTGAACTAAACATAGGGTGTATTTGGGATATTTTTGCCATTGATTTTTAGCACGTGCTAAATTTGCTATAAAATAAATCACTGTTTTTAGAAAAGAATTACAAATATCTTTTGATTTCCATTTGTGTCTGTGATTCAGCAAAGGCCCTGGTTCGGCATTTTATTCTTTGTAGTGATTTTGATTTGTGTGTGGCTTGAAGACGAGATACTGTGCACCAAAACATTTCAATGCCAACATATCTTAACTGGCTTGGAAATGAATAGATTTGCAAGGTCAGTTGTCAGAGGTCAAGCTTGCAATTACATGGCAATTTTTAGGTGGAATTGCTTCGGGCATTAGTGGACACCAAAGAGAAATGTGCAGTAACAACAGGCTTGAAAAGCTCATCCATAGAATCTTGACCTATAAACAGCAAGGAATAACTACAATGCAACCAAGGGGTGTGCAGATGGAGAGAGAATTACATTGACACAATTAGTTTTTAACATCTTGGCATTTAATCGTAATGTCTAGACAAAAGAAATTTTCATGCACTGAAAAGCGTGAATTAAATGACCTACGATGTGCGTATTTTCCCCTACTCTTCTTCATCCCCTTCAATATAGCAAACATCTTTCCTCTAGCCTTTGAAGGAGGACAAGTGTCTCAGCAATTGGTGCAAGTGCCATTCCTTGGCTACCTCACAGCATGATTCCCTCCCCTCAGGGTAATGGAGTCCCTTCACCCGGAGTAACAGATTTCTCTGACTCTAGAAATGAACAACATATGTGAACTCTGCTGGCCAAGTAAATGAGGACAGCATAGCGTCTCTTGTTCTGAATTCCTGACTTTCGACTTCAAGCAAAGATGGAATAAATTTTAAGAGAGATTAAAGAGAATCCATAAAACAATCTCAGCACAAAGACAAAAGTAATAACTTCCTAAATTCGTTACTTTATTACAGCATGGAACTAAATTCTGCTCACAGGAAAAA